AAAAAAAAAAAAAAAAAAAAAAAAAAAAAGATAAAAAAAAAATTTCTAAGTATGAATAACAAACATTAAAATGAATATTTCAAATGTGAAAAATATGAAATTATAGAAAAAAAGAAAAAAAAAAAAAAAAAACAATTAAATTTAAAAATTATATTAAAGGTATAAAAAAATTTAAAAAAAAAAAAAAGAGAGTCTCAAGGGGTTCCATAATGTATTTTTTTTTTTTTTTTTTTTATTAATAAAAATGTGTAGTAATTTTAACTTTAAAAAAACAAAATATTTTTTTTTTTTTATAATATTTTAACATAATTCTATCTTAAATTTGTCACATATAAAAAGTATTTTTATTATAAATAGAAAAATTAGTATTTGTTTCCTTTTCAACTATTAAATCATCAAAAACAAATGTTGTCTAATAAAAAATAAAAAAAAAAAAAAAACAATTTCTTTTTTATAATTGTAACTATATTTAATATAATTATTATTATGTATATTTTATTAAAATAAAAAAAAAAAAAAAAAATAAATAGAGTAACTATAATATCTTAAACGTAAATTATTTTATTTTACATCAATGGTGCCAACATTATCAGAAAAGTAACCTACACCGGTATATAAAAACAGTCCAAAAAGTTTATAATAAATAGGTAATAATTAGAATAATAAAAAATTAAAATAGTAAATTTTTATATTATGCAAAATTTGTAAAATAAAAATACAAAATTATTTTAAATTATTAATTTTAACCTGGCCTATTTGGATAATTATCATATTTACAAATAAAAATACCAGTAGTTTTGCAACAAGCAGTGGAACACCCAATATTCTAATGAAATATATATATATATATATTTTATTATTAATATATTTATTTTTATTATTAATATATTTATTTTTTTTATTAGTATATTTATTTTTTTTATTTTTTTTTTTATAGAAATTTTATATTTATTTTATATACTTCTACAGTTTTCCATAAAATTTGAGTAAATTCAAAAACGTTATTATTCCTTTTAATAACACCTAAAATTAAAAGTATTTAAATATAATAAAAACATATATTTAAAAAAATTAAATATTTATTAAATGTTTTAATTATTCTCTTATATATAAATATATTTCTTATTTTAAATATGTGTATAGTAATAATTGTTCTTATCCTTTCATTTTTATAATAAAATTTAATATATATATATATATAATAGAATAATTTTAAAATTGTTATATTAATAGAAAAAAAAATTTTCAAACATTCAGATATATGATGTTGTCATTATTTTTTTTTTTTTTTTTTTTTTTTTTACCTAATTCAAAATCATAATCGTTAATTCCTTCATACCATGAATTAACTGCTAATTCAATTTCATTATTTACAAAAAAGTTGAAATAATTTGTATTTATTTGTTTAGAAGTTAAAATACAATCTGAATTTGTTTTTATCTGAGGAGATAAATTAACATTATAAAGTATTTAAAAAAAGAGTATATTAGTTAGAACTGTTACCAAAATTATATATAAAGAAAAATTGTATTATTATTTAAACAAAATAACCAAATTGGCTTCCTTTTGAGACGCATTTTCAAGTTTCTTATTCCTTTGTAGAAACAAAACAAAAAAAAAAAAAAAAAAAAAAAAAATAATTAAAATAAAATAAAAA